TCCGATGGCTGAAAATCAAGACTGTCCCTTGCCTAAATTGGACTAAGTTGTTGGGTTAGGTCGACACACGTGATCCCCGGCGGTTGTTTCGTGTGTGTCTCTAAGCAAGATTCACGTGACACACGTTCGTCGAACTATGACGAAAAGCGAGGGTGAATTTGTACGGTGGCTCGTCACTTTCAATGCCACGTAGCAGCGCCACGGGGGTGTCCCCACCCGTCCCATGGTTCTCTGTATGGGGTGAGTCATGGTACTCCCTCCCGGTTTGGGCGTGGTGGCCGCTGCAGACGTTCCTCATCGATCTCCCCACGGCCATGGAACACCATAGGGCTGAACGGACTCGCTAAGGTGGTCCTTTTGATGCTAGGGTCTCGTGTAACGAGATATACCCGAATACATCGTTCAAGTATTTTTCTCTAGGACAAATTTAAATGAACGAAAATATAGATTGATAGATAGACAAAATTTATAAATATGTATATATGTATAGATACATAGAAGTGAGGAGACAATTCAGGTAGGATGAACTCTTGAAAGGAAACCAATATATCTACTAATTTATATTTATTTTTTTATATAATTACAATGAAGAGCAAAATTGAACACATGACAAAAATTGTGGAAAAAAATATTATGTAAATGTAAGATGATTAGGGCCAACGTCTCCAAATACTTGCTTGGTACCATGGTGAATATAAATAATTTAAATAATTTTTAAAACGTATTCTCGTTTAGCTGTGATAATAAAAATTCGTGGACCCTTACAGATTTGTTCAATGAACAAAGATAATATAATATCTTTTAGCTACTGTAAGGTTGGAAGTATCTGTATTAAAGTGATGTGATGTTAAGTGATTGGAATCTTACATCGAAGATGGAATTTTACACCGAAATAAATGAAACACCGTTTGATATCGAAGAAACGAAACCTGCATTGTAATCGTAATGATATCGTACCGTTATTTTTATCTGTTTGTTCGAGGTAATCTTGAATAAGTCACACGCGTTTCCTTATATGGCCATAGCTGAGTTCGATATACCTTGTTGTATGTATTTTTTTTAATCAGAGCGAAATGTTTAAGTGCGATTACGATTTTATCAGCCTTTCTTGACATTTTTCATATAA